TTACATGAAGTTAAAGCAAAGAAAAACTGGTCGTTTTGACAAATAATTACTTTTTATCAACATCTTAATAGAAATTATAGCACTTGCACAAATCATCTCCTGAGAACAACATCGAGAGAAAAGAGATTTATGAGTTTTAATATTGGGTGCTCTGCTTAAAATTTACGATACATTCATTAGACAATAAGTTAATCTTTGTCCATCTGAACGGCTCCCTTGTTAGTCTCTTTGTAATTAATTTTTAGAATGAATATCACCAGCACGTTTTACTCGTTGATACTAGGCTCTTCCATACGAGGTAAATAAGAAACCCTATTCATTGAAAGTCTCTGAGCGTCTTTGTTGGGAATTAAATGCATTTTCGTCTTTCAGCGCCTTATATTTCTGTGAAAATGAGCGGTACTTTGTCAGCAGTTATGAATCGCAACCCATTCATCGATAGACGAGCTACGGGCGACGCGACACCTTTCGTAGACCTTGTCTACCTTAGCTAAGTGAATTTGCCATTCACGGTTGTGTATACTCGACTCGTATTATGTTGATGAAAATTTTTGTCTGAACACCGGAAAAAAGGTCGATTTGAATTAATCCAACGTCGGGAAAAAACGTGACAGTTTGTTAGCATAATGGGTCCTTAAGAAATGTATGAATTATGCTTGATGCTTCAAAAGTTTAAAAAATGTCTAAGGGAGGCCCCCGGACCCCCCTTACGCCACCCCCTTTCTTCCTTCTAGTTATGACATACTTATTATCATTCTTTTCTCCTCGCGTCATGAGAGCAATAATGATTGCAATTTTCAATCCAAGTAAAAGCACAACTTACGAAAGAAAATATCGCAAAATTTAAACTTAGTTACGTTCTTTTATATGGACTAGATTTTGCAATTTGAAACTATAAATTCTAGCCCGGTTTAAAAACGACGTATGTGCCATTAGTTTCCCTGTGCACATGAGTGTTTTTTCCAGAAGAGCCAGAATTTATAATTCCAAATTGCAAAATGCAGTCCATATGAGCAACGTCAATTTGAGGAATAGTGCAAGCTACAGAGTAACGGAACCGAACAACAGGCAACAGCTGACGAAAACTCAATTTGGCAAAGGGGTTTTGGGGTTGGCTGGAGTGCTGCAAGTTGCAAATGTCGCGGCCCAGCTGGGGCAGAATGCCCATGGGCCTTGCATCCCCATAACCTTGAATGGGAGTCAGTGCCGCAGATCGATGGCCGAGAAACATAACCGGAGCATTCCCTCTTTTCGGCAGGCAAATACACCCCCTAAGGACTCACAGCGTACTCTAACGACCCGGTTAGGAAGCCCAGCCGTAATACTGCGCTCTCTGGTGGCATTGTTTCGATAAACATTGAACTTAGATTTTGGATTGTTTTCGAGTGTTACGTGGATTCTTTTTTAAATGATTAGCTCACTGAATGTAAAAGTCTTTATTTTGAGTAGCACAGGTTACAATGAATAGCGATATGGTAGGAGTTTACATACCGAATTTTTGCGGTGTATTTTTACCGCAGCAGGGTGTTGTGCATGTTGCCTACTAACTAATTGAAGGGGCTCCTCGCGTTGACATTGATTGTGCTAGAATTGAAGACTTTTTCGGTGTAAGGACGTATGAGGCTTACAATGTTGCAAAGATAGTGCAATTTTTCAAAGCTTTTGTGGCAGTTGACGTTCATTCACAGTAGACTTACTTCCTCACAATAGCGAGGAAAAACTCTGAGTGGATTCAGGTCAACATTCATAGCAGAACTGAACATGTATAAGTTACTTTCAACTAGAGAACTTGCAGCATTGGAAGTCTTCTACGCCCTTGTACCGAAAAGTGCCTCAAATGAAAAAAAAGTTGCAATTTTTCTTTGCACTTTGTTGCCGGCAGTCTGGAAAATAGAGAAAATCAAGGAAAGTATGGGAACTTGTGACGACCGGAAAATCGGAGGTTTTCGGATACATCTACTATTTATTAAAACATTACTGATCTCTCAACTGTTTATCCTTCTAGCCATTTTAAGGCTCGTCATCTTTTGACCTGCTACTGAATGCCTCTATCTATTATTTGATCTGTAAACAAGGAAATTGTGTCCAAAATTTAGGAGAAAATCGCATATTTCACGAGAAAAAAAAGAACGTGGTAATTTTGTTTGAAAGTCAGGAAAAGTCAGGGAATTGGACAATTTTGGAGTCAGGAAAAAGCAAAAATAGTCAGTATGGGAAAAGGAAAAATCAGGGAAAGTCAGGGAATTTAAAGATCAAGAAATTGTGGCAACCCTGATTATTCTGTACCAGTGGCAGATCCAGGGGTGGGCCTGGGCCTCTCATTATGCGTCAATTTTCAAATTTCAAATTATGCACAAATTGTATGATAAAATTGCTTTAAATCCAATCTTGGAGGGGCTATTTTTTGGAAGTTTTCCGGGGAGACCCCCTGGACACCCCTTGCTCTGGGGGATATCGCTCCCAAATCCTTCACTCAACATCAGCAAATGTCCCCATTCCAACTCACTCTGGAGCAGTGTTCGAAACTCACCTTAGAGTTTCAGGAGCCATGTGGCGCATCAAGCTCAATTTTTAGGGGCCATTGAAAATTTTTCAGGGGCCACTGAAGATTTTTTAGGGGCCAAATTGACTTTTTGCCCATGTATCACGGGCGCATTTAGTGACAAGTTAGACGCAAGGTGTTTTTGTTCCAGAACTATTAGCTGTTACTTGGGGAAATTTCGAAAAATTACCAAACAGAAAAACTAGGATTTTTTTTGGGGGGGGCGCTAGTTTTAGGGGCCACGATGGCGCAGAGCTTTCATTTTTTAGGCGCCGTGACCGATTTCTGAGGCGCATTTGGCGCGTTGGCGCTTGTGAGTTTCGAACACAGCTCTGGAGCCACCTCCGACACTGTTTTGTATAGTGCAAACAAATCTCCAAAATCAAAGCGAGTTTGAACTAATATAATGTGATTTCGTTCTGTTCCCTTTAGGCAAATCCACCCTCTGGAAGAGGAGAAAACGGGGCTGCGAGCGTACTCTAGCGACTCGGTGAAGAGGCCGACGGCGCCGAGCTGCAACGGAACGCTCCCTGGCGGGGACTCGCCGTACTTGGCGCCCAACATCTGCGTGGAGGGCGGGAGGATCGAGTTCATCAAGCCCTCGCCGGAGGTGCAACCCCCGCTCCCGATGACGATGACGATCCCCGCGCCCGACTACAGCTCCCCGCCCTCCTACTCCCTCCACGACGAGAAGGAAGACTGCATCAAGGTAAGCCACCCCCGCCCACCCAGCAACGCTTATCTCTAATCGCGGATTCGCGAGGTGCCCGGACTCGCCCCAAGATCCGCTTAATCCGCCCTTCTTCGACTTGATCACTGGACGGCCAATCCAGTTTGCGAATCCCGCCTGTAGGGTGTCTACAAGTCCGGAATTTCCGGAAAGTCCGGAAAAGTACTGATTTTTCAAGGGCGGTCCGAAAGTACTGGAAAAGTGCGGAAATTCCGCAAAAAGGTCCGGATTTTTTTTACATTTTTTGTCATTTTTGTCGCAATTTCAAATTTTTGAAATTTTTCGCCTGAATTCGGGCGAATTCCGCCTGCAGGGTGTCTACAAGTCCGAAAGTCCGGAAATAGCACTGATTTTTTAAGGGCGCTCCGGAAGTACTGAAAAAGTTTGGAAATTCCGCAAAAATGTCCGGAATTTTTTAAAAATTGTTGTAATTTTTCTAATTTCGTCAAATAGAGGTACTGAAAAAGTACGGAATTTTTCTGTCGGAGGAGGTACTGAATCTCTCGAGAATGTACTGTAAAAGTACTTATTTTTGACCAGCCTATTTTAGTAGACACCCTGAAGTGGATTTTGGACTGCTAAGTCCAGTGCCGTCGTTCTATTTTACCAAAAATCCCGGGGTTCCCGGAATTGATTGTGATTGTGATTGATTTGTGAGTTCCGAGGAAAATTCCGATTTTTTCAAAATGTTTGGGAATTCATTCCGGATTACATCCGGATTCAGTTCCAAAGATTATCAAATTGATCAAGAAATCAACAAATTTGATCGACTAATCGGTAAAAGTGATCAAAACCCCCGAAATTCCGAGAAAATTGTACAAATGGTTGAAAATTCGGGAAAAGTTTGGATTATTTTAAAATTACCGAATTTTGGAATTAAGTCCGGGAAATGGTAGCCTTGGCTTATTTTTAGTCTAGAACCCGAAATAAGCGACCGTTCTTAAATTAAGTAACAGGGGAAAATTGGTAGATCTGGACAATCTGTCAACTATAATTAACCCAAGAGTTGATTTATCCTATTTCAAAAAGATCTGTTTTTCTGATTCCATCAGACTTACATCAGACTCTGAAAACCGTTCAAGTCATAAACCACTCTTAACAGCCTTGCATACTCAATTCAGTAAAAAAAAAAAAAAAGAAAAAAAAAAACAGTTTGACGAATTGATCCCATTTTGATTAATTTGAGCAAGGTATCGACCAAATTTCCTCACCAATAGTTGGAGAATAATCCACTGCGCAAACCATGACCTATCCAATATCTCAACGAATGAGCGAAGAACGATAAGCCGGTCCAATTTTATATCAGCAGTGTTTCCAATTGTAATTACGTCAAGGGATAAACATCAATCCCGAAGGTGGGAAAGTTTTTGGCGCAGTGCCATCCGTAATTTGCGTAGTCGGTTCGGGCCACATTAGCATCACCCAGGGAAGCATTAACGCCTTCAACTGCGACTGATACCGCACGCAATGTTCGACTCCTCCGCGTATCCGCGTCGCGTCGCCATGCTCGAGACTTCGAGAGTTGTGAGTTGAGCCAGTGGCGTGGTGTCCTTTGCGATTTATCGATTTATCTGCCATTTAAACTTATGGGAATGGATCGATAAACAAAGTGTTCCCAACGAATACCTTAATAATCGATTCTTTACTATACCTTCAAATAAAGAAATATCGATAATCGATCATACACGCCGCGCCATTGCGCCCTCTCTACTCAGTAACTGCTGTAGGAACCCTGCGACGGAACCGCGGTTTTTTCGTTGCACGGCAGGATTTAGCCAACCCTCGTATTATGAGCAGTAGTAGTAGTAGTAGTAGAATGAGTTTACTTTTACGAGGTGCCTTAACATCGGAGGCCATTTACACCCAAGAAATAAAAAAATAAATACTCAAATGAATAAACAATTAGTTTCAACATAACAAAATTGAAGAGCACGCCGATATCGAGGTCTAAATCAGCTGAGAGCACATCGATTTAGAAACTGAACAAAAATAAAATTGATATCTCGATTGCAAGAATGGATGATTTTGGAGGCTCTAAGATAGCATTTTAGGCCACCTCCGCCATCTTACATTTTTGAATTTTGAAAATTTGACTAAAAATGCGACTTTTTCAAATGAATGTACCACCTGGCATCGAGTTTCACAAAAATCGATCGAACAAGAGGCGAGAATCCGAGATATTATTTAATGCAACATTCACCATCTAGGATTTTTGAATTTTCAAAATTTGAGTTGAAAGTCAAGTTTCCCGTCAAAATATTCCACACGGTATGAAGTTTTTTTAAAAATTGAGCGAACAGGGGCCACATACCGTATGAGCATCATGACTCTATCAGCGCAGCGGTAAACGATACCAGTCAATTTGCATAAGACAGTGCGCCTTCATTTTCATCTGATACTGTGCAATACTTCTGAGGCGGAATAGTTGCTCAGAGCGCCTTCGACGTTATCGCTTCGACTCAATGGCGAAAGATCACGATTACCGCTGATATTTCACTCTAGCGCATGTGCAGTTACACATTGTCTTATCGCCGACGGTGAGGTATAAAACATTCATGCCTACATTTGCGACGTTGCAAGTTTTCCATGGCCTATTTTTATGCTTAAACCAATGTGAAAACTTTAAAATCTGTAATTATTTCCTTGAGATATGATGAAAAATATTATTTTAATATTTCATTGAAGTCTATTTGTATCCGTTTTTCAAAAAGGGGAAAAAGCCGTATGAGTAGGAACCTTTGAACGAACAAAATCGGATCTGTTCATTTCCGTTTATCGCACTTATGTTGAGTGACTTATTAGATCACATTTAGCAAAAAGTAACCAGTGCAATTACAGTGTTGTAAAAAAGTTACTTCTTCATAATTATGTAAAAAATCTCTCAGAATAGCAAATATTTTTTGCTCCCTACCAAAAAATTGTTGATTTTAAAGGGAAAAAACTGCGTAAATTTTAATACTGTACGTAGATTGAGTATGTTTAAAAGGAAAGAAGAAGTTGCATAGTTTTGAAAACACCGAAATCGCGCTAGTTCCTTTTTGCTGAATGCGATTCAATTGCTAGAGGATCACGTAAATATTTCCATTCATCATCTTCAAGTTACAATAAAATTGTATACATTTTGGAATTCATATTTTACCATACGCTTCTTACTTTCACCGTTTATTTATGTTTCGCTTTTCTCAGCGTTCGGAGGGAGAGCGTTCAAACCCGATAAAAGTGATTAATTCGCAAAAGCGTTGTAAACAACTCGCAACGAATTTATTTCGAAAAAAAGGGGCTGAAATCAAGTTCATTAGAAAATTAGGGGAGAGTTGTATGATTCCTTCTTCAAGGGAAGGTGTAATAAGAATAAATAACACGGCCCGAGAAAAGGGGCGCGCACAAAAATGACGGCGGTACCAGTGCAAAATTAGGGAGTGCGCTGAGTAAATGTTTTGTAGCCGCGGAAGTTTTTCTCAGTTTTTTTCCCGAAGGAGGGAAGTCGGCCGATCCAAGTGAGCGCATTCACCATTAAAGCGCTGGGAGAGCACAGTTTTCCAAGGCAAATTCGAGGCGTGATTCCCCCTGACAGGTTTAATTTGGGTGTTTATCTCCTCGAGAATCTTTTCAGGCTAAGTTGCAGCGGTAGACTGCCGTGCTAAGGAAAAACGCCGTATGAACATCTGATAGTTGCCAAATTTTATTCGATGAAATGTTTATTATTGAGGAAATTGATGAATATTTTTCCTTGAAATTTTCAGGGACTTTAGTTGAAATTGCGAGGAAAATTATTTGATAAATTAGAAGAGGAATATTCGTAAATTTAGCCGAAAATACGTGTTTTATCAAAGGGAATTTGGCAACGCATAAAGGTTCATACGGCGTTTTTCCTCAGCACGGCAGCAGAGAGAAGAAGCCTCGCACCTCAGTGCAAAAAAAGTCAGCCTAAATGTAATTTAATGTGGATTAAACTTCCGGCCGTAGCACCTTCTTCCGACAACCCCTCTCCCGCCAAACTTTCAAGAGTTTGAATTTTCTTTCCCTTGATGACGGTAAAATAAGTGAAAATGCTGCTTTTTCTTCTTATTTGGGGGATGGGGGAGTCTTGTCCTCCACTTACCTTCATTGATTAAAAATCGAAAATGCCTCCCGAAACCTATCGCCGCGGGGGTAGTTTAAAAAATTAATGTCGCGCTCAAAGGAAAGTTCTCCCAAATGATTGAAGTTTTTCGGGGGTACCTTTACGCTTTTTACGGGATTTAATTATCGCTTCCTGCCTCTCTCAACTTCTTGTCGGGAAAGTCAACACTTTATCGGATGAACCTGCTAGAATAAAGAAAAGAAAGTTTTTCCCAGCCCCTGAAAAAGAAAACGAAGTATCGAAAGAAACGGATAGCAAAGTTCTGATGCATAAACTGTAATGTTCACAAATAGCATCCTTGTGGATTCGGATGAAACGACACACACGACTAAAAACCGAATGAAAATGATCGTTCTTAAAATCTGTCCATACAATGAAAGCAAAAGCCCCCTGAGTTGTAGAAAAATAAATTGGAATTTCGGAAAAAAATAAATAAATATAATATTAATAAATTGGAATAATTGGAGTTCCATCTCTTGGTTTAAAATTAAAATTTAGCCTATTTATAGCAGGCGCATTCTGCTATATGTTGATTCCAAGCGTAGAATCTTATTAATTTTGCTGAAAATATATTAATGGAGCTCAAAATTCTTTGAGGAATTCAAGTGAATAACCACACTCAAGCTGCGCATATGTTTAGAAAAATAATTATTGCACATTGAATGTGTGATTATATGTGATTATGTTATATGTGAAGGTCATATGTGATTATCAATCTGTATACTGATCGTTAATAGCCTTTTTCTTATTTTTTAAAGGCGTAGAGATGTTAAATCATCAGGTTTTCTTGCTTCAGTCCCTCACATTAAATCTTCTATGTTTGTTCCTAATAGGTGAGGGAACGCTTTTTTACGGCGTATTTTAGAAAAAAGCACGGGCACCCCGCGTTCTTCTCCCGAATTGTCCAAGCTCAATACTCGTATTTCCCTAAGTAGCAAGTATTAGATTTACTTCCAGTAGCGTTACGTGCTTTGCGATGTATCGATCGATATGCCATTCAAACCTATGGAAAAAGATCGATTATGAGGGCGTTCGCAACGAACACCTTAATAATCGATCTTTTACCATAGCTTCAAATGGGATACTATCGATAGTCGATTATCACGCCTCGCCACTGTTCACGCGAACCGGGCTTCTCTAAGTGTGTTCGATTATAGATCCTTTCAAATCGAATCAGTAGCGCGTAAAAGCGACCGGGACATTCTTTTACAAGAGGTGGAAGGAAAACTTACATCATAACCGTGAAGGAAACGAAACCATACTTTTGATTTACAGAGGAAAAATAGCGTCGGAGAAGTCTCATTGATCATTACTTGGTGCTCGCGCCGTGAACTCGCAACTTTTCTGCGTTTTTAGCCGTTTGCGCTGTGATTTGTGGCTTTGGCCCCTCTGGAAAATTGCGCTGCCGGCTTCTATTACTTAGTTTTAATCGCCGAATTCTTTTCAGATTCAAACACTTTAGACATTATTAATGAGTTACGTTCAAGTTCGAGAGGAGAGAATCTTACAGAAATTAGAATTAAATCAAGTGAGAACGAAAACATTCCAACTCGGTTGTTCGAAAATGCTCAATCATTAAGGATAGTCAATTTTTTGAAGGTCATTTAGGTTAGCGTATCTGCTCCAACTCAAACTTAGAAGGTTTCCTTGATTTCTTAGCTCTTGGCACCAAACACTTTCTTCCTGGACCAACGTCTTCACCTACCGGCAGTTGTGTGTGCGTCTTGATTACTTTCATTTTTTTTGAGTTGGTGTGTTTTCGTTCTCACTGACTCAATTTTTATTATAACTAACTAGCCGATGTGTGCCTCTCCGCCCAGCCCAACCTTTTGCACATTACCTACATGATTTGAACTGTCGTTGAGATGCTACGAGAGCCTTTTCACAAGCCTCTCGACAACTACTGAAAAGAGCCTCCCAAAATGTTAATATTTTCAGGAACGCGGTTGATATGAAATCTTGTAACGAGAGAAGCCTGCATAATCTTGCTTGACCTCAGAACTGGTTTAGCGGCACAGAAATTAGTGGAACGTCTTCACTTTATGAACTATCCCGAACTGATAGTCATTTTTTAGTGCAAAACAATGTAATGATTGCAACGCCGGACCATTAAAACCAACTTTGAACTGAAGCTAAAAGTTTTACCTAAAGCTCGTGCTATCATGAGGTTTCGGTTCGGTTTCATTTGAGCCCTTTTTCGATGAAATTTTCAGGTTTCTCTGCGGGATAAGGGTTAAAAAGGCCCTCTCTTTTTTCTTTTTTTGGAAAGCTCTCTCCTTTTGCAGTACCATAACTTAACCCTCAAGACCTTCCTCTTGTTGACTGCAGAACAACTTTTTTGCCATTCGTCTGTGAAGCATTTGTTTGAGAAACTAGCTGGTGTCATTAAAAACTGTGAAAACCGAGACTCATAAACACTGGAGTCACATTAAAAGTAAAGGGGGTCAAAATTGAAAAGTCAACTATTTTTAATCTATTTTTAATTCATTGAGGTATAGTTGAGTTTTTAATATTGACCCTCTTTATTTTAGCTGGTGTCGCTTAAACTTGTTGAGACAGCTATCAATACTAACTCAACTGCTAACGTAAGATCAGACTTCGGTACGACGGTTTTGCACTAAATACTCGTGGTTCGCGCATTGGTCGACAAAAATTCATAACATAGGTCAAAACCGGAGCCAGCAAGGGTTATGGACACGTGGAAGTCAAGTAAACTGAAGATATTGCTTTCGGTTTTCTGGCTGAAAAATCTGGAGCATCGCAGGCCATAAAGCGGCTAATTAGTCTAAATTACACATAACGAGGCAAAGGCGAGGGCTTTACTCGTAGTTCCTCCTTTGAAGCCCCTTCACTATTTCATGCGTTAGGACCCCTTTAATGCGCCAGAGCCCTTATGCTTCTTTTTTCGAAGCTTTTTGTCGGTAGTCAGCGACACTCCTAAGCCCATAAAACCTCCCCTTCCTCGACCCTTTTCTTTAGTGAGCTGAAGGGATTACAGTAAATTGCAAGCTTTGTGTATCTTTATCTACCTACCTTCGGATAAAACATCCGGCCAGGAAAGGGGCAAAACACGGTGGAACTTTCGGAAAAGAATGTGAGCTATACAGTAGTGCTCGAGATCCCTATAAGGACGTACGAAGGGACAAGTAAGCCAGTACCCTTGACCCTCCCTTATTTGTCCCTCTTTCAATCGAGCCTAAAATAAGATCTTAATCTAAAATAAGATCTAAAATGATCTTACCGAGCGTCCAATGGGCTCATGGGGAAAATTATGCGTTTTTTAAAATGTATTTTTCGCTTTTAACAAGAATCCAACTTTAGAGCTCCTTTTCTATAGAAATTAACGGTGCCTCAAAGTTTGAAAAGTAAGAAATTAGGAACAGAAAAGTGATTTGCCTCGTTTCCAAGTTGAAAACGGCGATGCCCATGACAAAAATGTAACTTCTTAAGAAACTTTAGCTGATAAACAATTTTGTGAGCAATTTATCACTTGTCTCATTTTTCAAGGTTTTGCAAATTTTGGAATCCATGTGCTATTAAAATGAACAGTGATCTGATGAAAGATTTTGAAAAACGGTTTTTTTGTGTGTGTGTTTTTGCCCAATGTACTTTACACTCGTTCAAATATAGCTTTTATAGCTAACTTGATTCTTAAAGTTTCTATCGCGTACGCAGTTTTACACTTACATTTTCTCCAGAGAGAACGCGTACGTGATGGTTTTTTTCGTATTTTTACCATGGCATCATAATTTCCGAGAATTTAAGGAGAAAGTCAGGTTACTTTTTATGTCTTGGCAAAATGTATACCAACGCAAGATATTTATAAGTGGTTTAGGCTGTCCGGTTGCATTTCGCTCATGATGAAGCGACCAGTTTGCGTGTCATATAATGAGGTTTTGATGGTTGCATCTTTAATATGAGAAGGATTTAGATCCGGTCAAATGCCAAGTTCCCTGCAAAATATGTTTTCTTTTAGTAAGAGGAAACTTTATTTCTCGCAAAAGAAAAAAGAAAAAAACAAATTTATAAAAAAATTATGTTGACAAACAAAATTAAATATGGATTCCAGTTGGTTCAAAAAGAGCTTTTAAAATAATCGAACTTTTCTTCATTTATTCTCGAAATTAGTCAATTGAAGTTTATGATATAAGTACACATATTTCTATGTTTCGACATCAAGGACAGTAGACACATCTTCAGAATATTTTCAAAAGTCCCTAGTTTTGTAAGTGGAACAAATACTTTGGTTTCTCATTAGAGTTAGAATCGACGCTGAAACGTCGTGCACCAATTTCGTAGGAACTTACGTAGTAATTTTCTTTGGTTTTAAGCGCTGAATTTGAAAGTGACCTTAATATTTTTCAGTTATGTCAAGATTTTTGCAAAATTAACATTTTCCCCCCAAAAAGAAGGCCTTTTTCGGGGAAAAAATTGATTTTCCTGAAAATTGTCGTAACATTGGGTAAGCCTAGGTCGATTTGAGACTCGTATGTTAAAGCTCCTAGGAGTGCTATCGCACGTATTTTTTCATTCTTTTTTTCGCTTTTCCTTTATGAAAATCACTTTAATCAAACAAATTGTAATCCTCTAAATCACGCTGTTTTCAATAGTAGTCGTCTAGTCGTAATCACATTCTTCTACATTGTGTTTTCACGATCATTTTAGCTTTCCCTTTACCCGTTTACTTTACGATCAACGTCCGTAACCAAAGTTTTTATACCCCCAACTAAAATTCATGTTCCCTATCTTGGAAAATTAAACATTTTAGACCTTTATGACAGTTACGGGACACTAAGCTCATTTCCGAGATCTTCATCGAAAAGTTCCGAGACGTGGGCGGTGTCCGGCTGCCGAACTATGCGCGACACGTCAACGTTTGTCTAAATCGAGAGATTAATGTCGCTACGCTTGTTTTGTCGCAGGAATGTTTGGAAGTTCGCATTCTGGAGCTGGAGGAAAGTTTGGACTTGGAGCGGAAAGCCGTGCAGAAGGAGCGCCAAATCAATGCCAAACTTCAGCGGCAACTTTCGAGGGTAAGTGATGAAAACCTCTTCCTCAGTTTTGAGTCAACTTTATCATCCGTCTACTCACCATTAATTCTAGTCGGCTTTACCGATCAACTTGTATGTTCTGCTCTGCCGAAAATAGTATGACTTTTTGCATTGAGGTGATTCGACGGTTGCCATTTTTTGTGTCAGAGCGACGTGCGATTTATCGCATCAATTCGTTCCATAATTTCAGCTATTGTACTCGTCATTTTTTTCGAATTTTAAGATCGCACTCCTGTTGTCATGAGACTAAAGAATTCATGTACAAAATTTGACAAAGAAATTCAACGTAATAAACGCAGGGTTTTTTTAGAGGAAAAATATCGCATTCGATACTGATATCGAAACTGCACTCTACTACTACTACTACTACTTTGCTCTCGAAACTAAGCCCCTTCAATTGATGTTCATTTTTCTGAACGGCATTCGTATCTAAGAGTGCATTCTCATGCATTGTCATGTTGAGCAGTTGTCTCCTTATGCTGCCTTTAGCGGGTGATGATCAGGCGAGCTCAATGATCGACCGCGGCAGGAAGCTAGAGCGCCTTCAAACCACTGCATGTGCAACACGGGCAACCGTTGAGTAGATATAGTTGTATCCAGGGTCTAGGCGTTCTCTGAGACTTCTCGTCACGTTCATGCTTCTTTCCTCTAGGAGTTTAGGACTGTAAGTTAAAGTTTAAAGTTAAGACGGGAAAAACAAGAGTTGTCGGTTGGTGTGTTATTCGTATGTTTTAAAACAGCGTAAGTAAACAGTCATAAAATCATTGAAGACTTCGTACCTCGGAGGTAGTAAGCTTTTATCCAATTGTTTAGTTCATTGGATTGTCAGCCATCAACAGGCAACATCGGAAGGAGGAAAGGAAAGAATTCTATCCTTCCAGACGTCAACGCTTCAAGAATTTTCCGGCAAGGGAGGGGAGAGATGGTACAGCTTCTGAATTTTTAAGTATGGCATCCAGGACCGGGGTATACTGGCATTTATCAGAGAGTGATAGATCTCCGGAAAAATTAAGGAATCCACACTCTCTAAGGATGTTTTGTCCGGAATTTTGGCAGCTTGTTTTGCCCGAAAGATGGCGAAATTAATAGTTCCGCTCGAAAAATGAAATAATTTAATAACTTAAAAGAGAGAGAAAAAAACTCTACAAATTTTCCCCGGTATAAACGGAGGAAATCCAGAGGAAACTCCAAGTTTTCATCAAGGATTTTGCTCCATGAAGCTACTATCGGGGAACTAGGGAATTCAAGAAAAATAGACACCATAATTTTACATCTTTCAGGCAAAAGGTATAAATTTTGGACTTCTTTAATTTGTCAATTTTTTAAAATCCATTTCTTCACCAGTCCACTCCACTGGAAAAAAGTTACGGGTTTTATAGACATACCGTCCGTTCTGGACACAAACTGAGAGTGCCGGGCGCTGAGGCAATAGCTGTTCCGGGTGCTACACCCGGAACTTTCGGCCGCTAAGCCTGGAACGTGGACGGTATGTTGTATGTCTTCACAGCCCGTAAGAATGGCTCCCACACCAATGACGGGGTGTGAATTATCGATCATCTATATTTCCCCATTTGAAGCTATAGAGTAGAATCGATTATTGAGATGTTCGTTGCGGACATCCTGTTTATTGATCTTTTTCCATTGGTTTAAATTACAGATCAATCGATGTATCGCAAAGCATGTTACGCCACTGATTTCTACAGCCGGAGTTTTTTTTCAGTTTCTCCGTGGAGGACTTTAGCTCTTTACAGACGTTACATATTTAACGCGTTTTCATCGTCATGCCCGACTTTTTTATTTTTATGATAGAAACAAATCGATTTGATGAAAGTACACCCATTTCTTAAAGTTATGACGCGGATGATCATCTCAGTTGGCGCTTCATCGCTTTCGCTCAGTTACGACTTCACGCAACGAGCCCTGTACAGGGTGATCCAGAAGTCTTGCACCACCAGCACCAGGCATCAACCCTGTATAACTTTTGAACAATCTCAATTAGGGACTTGAAATTTTGTGAGTTTTTTGTGAGCTCGCAGGTCAAACGAAACGTCTTTTGGAATCCCCCAAAAATTTTAAAGGGATCAGCCTAAAAAAGGACAGGAACCCTAGGAATTAAAGGCATACTGCCGTACTAAGGAAAGACGCCGTATGATCATTAAAACTTTGTCGAATTTTTTCTCTGAAAATATGTTTTTTTGAAGGAAGTTGAGAACATTTTCCCTTGAAATTTTCAGGTATTCAAGATCAAATTACGAAGGAAATTATCTGTAAAATCGGAAGAAAAATATTCAGGAATTCTCCCGAAAATTCGTGTTTTGTCAAAGGCAACGTGGAAGCGTCTGAAACTTCATACGGCGTTTTTCCTTTGCATGGTAGTATACTGTTGCCGTGCTGAGGAAAAATGCCGTATGAGCCTTTAGACGTTGCCAGATCTTCTTTAATAAATACCGAAGTTACTAGAAGAGTGTTGAACATTTTTTTTTCAAAGTTTTTAGATAATTTGATTTGCAATTGGATCCAAGATATCTGAAATTTCACGGGAAAAATGTGCACAACTTACCTAATCCACATTTAATACGGAGAAATTTGGCAACTCTCGAATGTTCATACGACGTTTTTCCTTAGCACGGCAGTATAGGGGTTGTGCGGCACTTCAAGAACTCCCCGCATTCTCGGTGCCCCCCTCGATATTTACGAGAACCCGAAATCAATCCGAAACTCGCGGAAAACCAGGATTCGATTATCCCTCTCGGCGGCTCCGTCAAAACTTATGTCATGTCGGATGTGTCGTGCTCTATGATCGTTTTCCGGCCGTCCAAAAGGGGGAAAATCGGGAAAAGCCAGCCGTAAACTCCTCTCCGCGGCGCTTCCTTTTGTTTATGGACCTCCGCGGCGAGTCCTTCTTCTCCGCCTCTGGTTTGCCTACACCGCACCCCCCCTTCACCCCCTGTCCCCCGCCCCCTGCGGCTCCGGCCAGAGAAAGTTGGGAAACAGATTATGCGTATAGATATTTTTCCCGGGAAGGCGTGGCGGGGTGGGGCGGGACGAGAGGCGAGGGGTGGAGGGGTGGAAATTGGAGTGTAGCATAAATCGAGGCTGGCGCCGCCGAACTGGCGAAGTCGATTTCCAAGACGCTTCTGGATTTCAGTCGATAAAAAGATTAAAATTACGGGTGCACTCGCCGATTCCACTGTTGTCAACTCGTGCTGAAAAATTGCGCTCGGAAAATTAGAGGTATGAGTAAACACTGTCCTCCCAGAGGACTGATTATTAAATTGATAGACGAAGAGGAATATGGGAAAATGGAGCGATCCTATTGGTGGAGGGTTGGTTACAATGGACAAAGGAGGTAACTAATAGATTTACAGCAACCCCCGAGAGACCCTGCAGTTAGTGCAGCATTTTATCCCTGAGTCTATAACAAACATCTTTTTCAATCTTTAAGATCATTTTTTCCCCTTTTGCCTTCCTTGCATATCAATTTCAATAATCAGTCCGCATGACTGTATGAAGATTCCGTCTACCCTTAATTGCAAGTTTTCAGTCACCCTCGAAACACAGGGACTTTAATTGAGCGATTAAGGTAACAAGCATGAAAATTAGCATAGTAAAAAACAGTTTTCTCCCACGAAATCGTAAGGAGGAATATCGACGAAGTCAGAGGGTGGTCAGGAAAGAATTACCCAACTTTTTTTTTACTATATTTTTGCCAGTGATGCAGCCAGGGGCGCAGCTGAGAAGAGATCCGAGGATGATCCGAACTAAAGTTTTTTCAAGAACCCTGTGCATTTTTCAGGATTTTTTGAGTGATAGATCCCTCCTCGTGAGAAATTTCTGATCCTACACCCACCCTTTACGAAAATTTCCGCGCGAAATCTCAACCTAGGAATATTTCCTTCCTAATTTGCGCCCCCTCAAGTCAACACCCATACGCATTATCGCTCCCCATTAGTCTAAATCGGCCGTAAGTACTATTTTTTCAATTTTTTTCTTTTTTTCCCTTACTAAATCAGACAATTCTTCCTACAATCAGGCAACATCGTAGGAGACCGCTGCCGGCGACTACGGCGCGAATGGCGGTGCCTTTTCTTCGGGAGAATAATGCTCGATTGCCCCAGTCCCGACTGCAACTTTTGCCAACTTGTATCCGCGTATTTATTATCGCCTCTCAATCCTATCANGGGCTGGCTCTTCGACCTAGGCTCACGGTGTGGATTTAATTAACTCCTGCGTTAAGCGCCGGGGATTTTCTCAGAGGCTCCTCCGCCTGTCCCCCGTATAATCTGAGGAGTGCCCGGAACGTCTCTCAATCAGGATATAGAGACTAAACGATGAATAAATGTGAAATGAAGGCGGAGAAATGGCCGATAACTTCGTTATGCTGCTCATTGCGAGTCGGGCCCATTTTTCGCCCCTGAACGATAGGATTCTGACTTCAATGGGCTTCGTAAGCCTCGATAGAATTATTATCGGCCCGCTCCACCCATCATTATAACGTGTTTTGACGGTTCGTCGTTTCTGATTGTTCCGCGAATAACTCCTACAATTTTGTTCGCAGACATTTTTGGGGATGATGTTGGTTGGTTTCATCCATGTTTGACATGATCTTGTACTTTTGACACTTAAGGGGCTGGCCATCCCTAAATTACGTAACGTTTTTTCCCGGAATTTTGGACCCCCCCNTTGTAACGCTTGTCTGACATAAGTCCCTATCCTTTATCACGTAAAAACCAAATGGACTATAACGCTCTTCTCGATACCCTGGAGAGTTACGTAATTTAGGGACGGCCTCCAACTTGAATGGATTAATATTAATTAATAATTAATATTGATCCTTTTGTTTTACATCAGTGTATCAGCAACTTTAAACAGCAACTTTCTACGTTCATTATTAACTGAGATGTAGCGATTTGAAAAAAAATCGGTCTACAATGTCATCAACCGCGGTAGTGACACCCTTGGTTTCTTTCACCTTTATTTTA